CATCAACTGTACATCCATCAACTCTACATTCATCCATCAACTCTCCAATCATCCATCAACTGCCCATCTATCTATTAACTGCACATCTATCCATTCATCATCCATCAACTGTACATCCATCCATTCATCCATTCATAAACTGTACATCCATCCATCCATCCATCCATTCATCAACTGTACATCCATCAACTCTACATCCATCCATCCATGAACAGTACATCCATCAACTGTACATCCATCCATCAACTGTACATCCATCCATCCATCAACTGTACATCTATCCATCCATCAACTGTACATCCATCCATCAACTATACATCCATCCATCAACTGTACATCCATCCATCAACTGTACATCCATCCATCAACTGCCCATCTATCAATCAACTGCACATCCACCCATCCATCCATTCATCAACTGTACATCCATAATCTGTACATCCATCCATCCATGAACTATACCTCCTCTGTGATTTCTTTTAAAAGTCAGCTAAAAACGTATCTTTTTAAATCTGCTTTTGCCTGAATTTGTTTTTTGCTTTTGTTTATCTGATTTGTTGAAGCATTTTGTGATTTTTATCTTGAGAAGCGCTATATAAATAAAGTTTTACTTACTTACTTTCTCCATCAACTGTACATCTATCCATCAACTGTACATCCATCCATCAACTGTACATCCATCCACACAGAGACAAACAACCATTCACTCTCTCTCTCACCTAGGGACAATTTAGATTTACCAGTCAGTCTAACATGCATGTTTTTTGTCTGTGAGAGAAAACCAGAGTACATGGAGAAAACCCACGCAGCACGGACAGAACATGCAAACTCCACCCAAAAAGGCCCCCTGTTGGGATTTCAACCGGCGACCTTCATGCTGAGAGGCAACAGCTCTATCAACTGAGCCACCCTGCCGCCTAGCGTGTAACTACGGTTGTGTTAATGTAAGCTTTTAGTTCCTTATTTTAGCTTTTAGCAACAGTTTTGCTAAGTGCAGCTTTAGCTACAATTGAGTAAAACTAAGTTTTTATACTGGCAGCACGGTGGCGCAACTGGTAGAGCTGCTGCCTCTCAGCGAGCAGGTCCTTGGTTCAAACCCCGGTCCAGGGGCCTTTCTGGGTGGAGTTTGCATGTTCTCTCCGTGCATGCGTGGGTTTTCTCCGGGTGCTCCGGTTTCCTCCCACACACCAAAAAAACATGCATGTTAGGCTGATTGGTAACTCTAAATTGTCCCTAGGTGTGAGTGAGAGAGTGAATGGTTGTTTGTCTCGTTTCTCTCTATGTGTCCCTGTGATGGACTGGAGACCCATCCAGGGTGTACCCCGCCCCTCTCACAGTGATTGCTGGACATGGGCACCGGCGACCCCCGTGACCCAAAATGGAATAAGCGGGTAAAGATAATGGATGGATGGATGGTAAAGATAATGGATGGATGGATGAAGTTTTTATACTGATTTGCTCTTTTTAGTTTTTAGATACAGTTGTGCTGATTTCAGCCTCTGTTTTTTTCCATTTACTAATCCAAATATTTCTGTTTTGATCAAGATGAAGAAGCATTCAGCGCTCAGCATTTAGCAGCATTACCCCCCCCCCCCCCCGGAAAGTCATGTTTCTTGTTTTTACTGATGTCCTCTGCAGTGCCATGAAAATAAACAAAGATTTAGCGGCTGGATGTTGAACTCGTTAGGAGTCAGCAGGAGATAAAGGGAGATGTTGTGGCAACACTTGGTGGCAAGAGAAAAATACACAAACACTTGAAATTAAAGTGAAAACATCTTTTCAGTACTAAATCTACTGAAACTAAAATATCCTCATTTAAACTCTATTATCAGATCAGAATGATGCATCCTCTCCAAGTCAGAATGAAGTTATGAATCAGCCTTACCCTGGCCAGGTACTTGATCTGTGTATCTGAGGTGATGCAGGCGTTGCCCTCTTCCTCACCATACTGCACATTGCCAAGGTGAAGCACGCTGGCGATGATGTTCAACAACTCCTGCACAGACGAAACACACGGGAGGAGGCAGTGAAACTCAGCCCAGCAGGAGGGTGTGGAGGGACACATGAAAACAATCAGAGAACAAAGGTTAGGGGATAAAAGCAGGCTGGCAGTAAAACTGAGGCTGTCTTCATGAGCCGCTTGCCTTTGATTCAGATTAGAGCAGAAGAACGTAGCAACCTGCACACACTCACACCTGTTGGCCCCTTTCTGAGCAGTGTGAGCTCTGGTTTGGAACCAAGCCCAGAACCCTGATGATGCAGGAAGACTCCCACGCTGAGCAGAAGTGAGTTTTAACTATATAATAACAGCTTCATGCACAGTTCTGTCTAACAAACATCCGCAGTCAGACAGAACCAGCCTGAGGCCCACAGAGAACTCCAGCGCTGCTGCAGCAACATTTACTCCTGTTTATCTGTGCTTACATTTCTTGACTTGTTTTAACAAATTATTAATGATTAAAGTTCAACAGATTCTGTCTATTCATGGAAACATCCAGCTGGTAATATTCCCACATCACATAAAGTCACAAACGTGCAAGGTAACGCCATGGGAAGAAGTGACCTTGTTTCACTTCTATTGTTTTATATACAGCGGTGCAACAGAAACCCTGTCTTTACCAAGATTCACATTGTACCCTCAGAAAAACAACATGTCATATTACATTCATACATAGCGTCACCCTTTGGCCCAGATTCACTAAGAACACTCAGTGCATGTTTTTGCACACCATTTGCACCCGCAATTTGTTCCTTCTGTAGTGACACGTACCCACGTGACTCACTACACTTCTCAGAGTAGTCTTCATGAAGCAAGCAGCACTAATTACATGCTGGTGCAAACACACCCATCAGGGTCAGCAGACGTTAGCCAATTTCATTCTTTTTGCGTCAGATTGTCCTTGCCGCACAATTCAAACTCAGTACTTCACTGGCTGTGGCTGTTGGGGATTAGTTGGAAAATGGCACCTCCAAAATGTCTCAAAACCCCTGCAGGGGCATTTCCAAAACAATCTTTTTGTTTGTTGTTTCTGAAGGCTGTCTTCATCCACAAGGAAACACCCAAAACACCTAAAAACGTTTTTAGTACCATATTTTTTTGTCCTATAAGTCATGTTTTGTTTTGTTTTTTTGCATAATTTGCATGCCCTGTGACTTATACGCCAAAGTGACATATTCAAATTTTTGGCTGAGATATGACCGTTTTCATTCATTCTGACTGAAAATATTGAACACTACCATTTTCAGCCGCTAGATGGCACTCGAGAAGTATGGCATGCCATTGTATCATGTAATAGGTAAACGTGGCTATAATGACAAGTTTTAAAAAGTTCAAGACAAAAACAACTGGACTTTTTTTATTATACTTTACTGTATACTTTATTATTTTTGTCTTGAACTTTTTTTAATTTACCAGGTCCTAGATGACTGACAATCATCTCCAAGCAACCGCAGGTGGGGCTATGACATCATTATTTTTAAAAGGCTGGCCTTTGGCTGTCCGTATGAAAATACAGGGGTAACATTTCAAGAGTTTGTTCTTACTCTGGAACAAGTTTTCCAAAGAATGACTGTTTCAGGGCTGTTAAAACACTGTTTTCATGTGAATGCATGACTGAAACGACAAACCTGAGTATTTACTAAATCCATCCCCATATGACCTGCCTCTCAGAAAACAGTAAGTACTTTGTAGTTCATACAAACTGTGTTGAGCTTTGACAATAATTCCCTGTTGTCCTGGACATTATTTACATAAACATGAACATGTTTTCCTCTAAACGCTGCATAATACCACATTTAAATGTGAGAAACTGAACACTGTTCAACGGGCAGCACAGTTTGAAGTGCAAATCTTCCTTTGTGAAGGTTTTGTGAGTTAGACAAATGCTAATTTCTTATGTGTACCAATAAAAATGTGCAATCTGTTGATAAATCCAGGCCTTAGTGTAATATGTTAATGTTTGAGGATGGATTTGCCTAATTTTAGATCTGATAAAGACCAAATAATTTTCATGATGTCCTGAGTTGTTAAACTTTAGAACCTAAAGAGGCTCTGTCACTGTCTGCCACGCCTGTACGGCCTGGTCCTCACCTCCACCTCATTGTCACTGAAGCCAATCACAGTCAGGGCTTTTCTCACCACCTTCCAGTCGCTGCGGTCATTGATGGAGCTCACTTTGGGACAGTTACCCTGCAAAACACCGAACAAGACAATAAATAAACAAACAAACAAGCTGAAACACTTTGTACACGTTCATCATGTGAATCTAACAGAACATTTAGGGTCGGTGTAATTACCATGTTCAACCCACAAAGTAGGTGATGTGTAAATGACTTATAAACACCTACTTATGTGTGACATAAACACTTATTAAGACAAACTCGTGTGTATGAAGTTGTTTGGAGGTTGTTGGGAGGTGTGTGTGTTAGTCCCATGAGTCAGTCCTCTAAGGAAAGCCCCTCTCGCTGCACTGAGAGCCAAAGAACATGAACTCCCGTTGGGACACAGACACACACCGATGGCTTCAGGCAGGTTAGGATGACGCTCTCTAGTGAACACATGAGCTAAGGCTGCTGACTGTATGAGCACATGAGTGTGTTGAGCAGGAGCAGAAACATTAGTTATCACCTGCAGCCGAAAGGCGAAGGTATATGATGATACTTTTACCCACGTCCCTGTCTGTGTTTGTACATCTGTCAGTTAGCAAAATATCTCGTAAATCACTGAACAAATGTTAAATGAAACATTAAAGGAATGAATCATTGCTTTTACGTCTACGACTGAGTAACTTCAGGGGAAATCCAGTTCAAAGCAGCTGCTACACTCTCATGACATTTGAAAACAAAAAACATGGCTCCATTAAATTTCTAATCTGTGAAATATAATCAATTTTCACAGATATGGAGCTAAAATTTGGTGTGGTAGTAGCTAAAAGTCATTCCCAATATGGTAGTCCCTCATTTATCACAGGGGAGCCGTACCCTGAAGACCCGCAATAAGTGAAAAACCACGAAATAGGAAGAGCAGTACA